TACCAAATACACCTGGAGGTGTATTTGGTCTGTCTCTTATACACATCTTTATAACTGATATTTGACACACTTTTATCTGTCCAATTGATCTGAAATTTTGCACACTTGTGTGAAGTCGGAGGCAATGCATGAATCAATTGACAGAATAAATAATTTTGAAAAATAATTTTTATATATGAAAAAAAAAATTTGAAAAATATTTTTTTAATATTCAAAAATAAAATGAGAGATTCATTGCACATCTGTAACATTGGAGACACTGGATTCTTTAAAGTGTTGTCTTTTTTTAAAGATAGTGGATTCTTTAGAAGTGTTGTCTTTGAAAAGTATTTTTTAAACTTATATTACTAGATCTCCTGTGAACTAGTCACACAAATTACTAAAATCGGCGACAGGCCAAACTTTGCCTATTTTTCAGCCCTGACGTTACTATACCAATAAAAAGATATATTATAACATTGTATTCTTATGCACTTCAGATGCAGTTCCTCTTCACTAGGTTGCAGTATATGAAAAAGACTTGTGACAACATAGTGCTACATTAATGCAGTATTGTCAATACAGTAAATGCTTCTATATACAATACTACAAATGTTTTATTTACTGCCATTGCTATACTCTTATCTTGCTTGTGATGTGAGCGTCGTCCAAGACATAGTGTCTTGCTTGTGATGTGAGCGTCGTCCAAGACATAGTGTCTTTCTTGTTTGTGATGTGAGCGTCGTCCAAGACATAGTGTCTTTCTTGCTTGTGATGTGAGCGCCATAATCGCCATGTGAGTGCTGTCAAAGTCGTTAGGTGAGCGTCATGCTCGCCCTGCAAGAACGGTAGGCATGACGTAAGATTTGGTTGACGCACGCGCATTCATCGAGACGGCAACGAAGATGAAAACGATGGAGTGGGTAACGATCGAAGACGGTCAGCGCGGAGGCCGTTCTGCTCAACTTGATGAAGAATGTTGAAGAAGCAGCTGTTGGTGCATCACAAGCCTGGTCTGGCACTCGCATTTGTAAAATTGAACGCTACGATATAAATGAGCAATAATATGTCATGAGGTGGGTTTGGAGGATCCATCGTGGGCTGGGACTGCTACGTCCGGAACAAATACTTAAGGATACTAAGGATACTCTGTAATCATGTCGTTACATTCCGAAGCATTAGCTGTCCCATGTCATAACATTATGATGCTCCGGCCTCACCATGTCATAACATTGCAATGCTCTAGCCGTCCCATGTCATAACAAGCTGCCGTATGAGATATTGCAGTAGATATTGCGTAGGCTGCCGTATGAGATATTGCAGTAGATATTGCGTAGGCTGCCGTATGAGATATTGCAGTGCACGAAAGTAGCAGAGAAAGTAGAAAGAGATCTTGCAGTGTATCTTCTTGCTTTACCACCGAGATGGTAAAAGTTCAGTAAGGCATCAATTCAACGTCGAGTTTTTACATCACTTCTCTTTAACTTCACTTGTTTGTTTGGCTGTCCGTCTGCTATAAATCTTATAATCGAAATTTAACACACTTCTACTTATCCTATCGATCTGAAATTTTGCACACTTGCGTAAAATTGGAGACAATGCATGAATCAAATTACAAATAAATAATTTTAAAAATTAACATTTTTTTCAATATTGAAAAAATTGAAAAAATAATTTTGTCAGTTTGATGCAAATTCTAGGCGTGAAAATGTGAAATACCTTCACCACTCCGTATCCACATTTTTCTATATAGGTATCCGTTATCTGTAGTGTTGGATAGCTATCAAGACTTCATTAGATACGTAAACTGACACTTAAAACAAATATATGTCTGTATAAGCAAAGATTTCGAAAGAAAAGCACAAATCTACCCGAGAAAGATTTTAGATGAGGCGATTTCAATTTTTCAGGAGAGTCGAATAAGTGAAATGGATTGAAGAAATAGAAGTAGAGGCTATACATTTTTTTTATAATGAATCCCTCGCTCTCCCATCGCATATTTTTCGTATTGAGGGTACGATCCTGCGCCGCATGACACATTCTCATGCAGTTTAATGCAAATCATAACCTATAAATATTTTTATTGAAGAAGTCACTGCACAAAATTATAAAAAATTTTCCTTTTTTGTATAGGTAATTTTGAAACTTCTTCACTTACTTATCAGGGGCAGGCTGATACTTGCCCGGTGTCTTTACTTCAGCTTAAAAAATTCTTGAACGCCATGCTTCCGACTCACTCAGTTTTACTCTTATGTACGCCAAAACTTTATTCTTATTTACGCCAAAATTTTCGCGAAATGAAAACCTAAAAGCCAAGCTCAGGGTACCCACACAGTGGAAGCAGGTTGCCAGCGTGCTGGTAACCTGCTCAGGCTGGCGCCTGAAATTGAAATAAATAGGCCTGGCGCTGGCCTATTCGTACAGGTTTTCACTGTGAACACTTACATTATTATCCTATGTTCATTCTTGTGGCCGGTTTGGAGCAGGTTGCCCGCGCGGGCTAACCTGCTTTCACTGTGTGGGTGCCCATTCAGATCGAGGTCAAGATTTCTTTTTGATCTCTAATGACTCACAGCCTATAGTAACTTCTTTCTCTGTTGAACCTATTTCAGTGGCATATTTGTCGTGCACTTCGTAGTATTAGGACGAACGGTTATTTGTGACTTACAAGCAGGAATAAAGAGTCTTGCCTGCAATNTATAATCCACCACGCCTGCTTATAGCCATCGGTGCGCATTTCTTAATTTTATTTGAGAAGAAACCACTGGGGAGCGACACAAAACAGGACCACCACCATGCAGTCCGGTCCTGTAAGCCTGCATCATCATGCGGTGCCCCGACGCCTGCACCAGCATCATCACAATAAAACCACAATATCATAAAATATATCAATAATATTACTAAAGATTTAAATTTTCCTTATTACAATTTCGATTGAAGACCAAAGAATGGATTTGATTGATTATAGCATTTATATGGGCTTGATTATTATTTTAATGTTAGAATGCTGTTAACCCAAATTCCGTCATTCTCGTTATTGCATTAATATACGCGGATAGTGCAATATACTAGAGTATATAAATGTTATATACTACTGGAGTCGAACGACATTTTTCGCTGTCGCCAGCACGATCAAAAAGAAGTTTCCTGAATGACATTTTAACGTTTCGGATAAGCATTATTCAATTATGACTTAAGATGAAGGCTATGCAACCTCCGAAATTTCTAGATTGTGAAATGAGTGAAAACATTGGGTATTGTGGACGTTACTGGAAAATTAATGAATAAGATTACTTGGTAGATAATTTCCCTGAGTACAGGTGGAGATGTGGCTGACAGATGCAAAAGTCTAACCTGCGGTTTCGATACCCCAATTCCAGTCACGGGAGTGGAAATAAATAACATTTTAATTTAATAAGATCTACTGTTTTCTTCATGTGGTAGCATCGTCTGTGCAAATGCTAAGCACTTTAATTGTTCGAACTTCAACCATTTGACTTACGGCGCTAACCATGCGGCTGAAAATATGGTGATTTGCCGCGCATCTATAGCAATGTATGGGCTTTGACAGCACCTACAGCAATGTATGGGCTTTGGCAGCACCTGCAGCAATGTATGGGCTTTGATTCATTCATTAAATAATATGTTAGATTCCTATATATAGTATGCCGATTTTGTTGGATTTATCTATGTTTTTGAGTTTACATATTAGTTATTGATGATCTACTGATTAGAATAACATCAACACCTGTAGAAAGTTTATTTATACTCGAAATTTGCTATGTGAAGCAGAGACTATAAGAACAAAAAGTTACGTTTTATATTGGGCCATGTTTTCTTCATTTAGCCATATCTCTGGACCATATCTCTGGACCATATATGTCTGGACCTCTGGATCATATGTTTTTAGCCATATCTCTAGACATATACAATCAGTCAATACTTGATTTAGGGTTTTTATGAAACTCGCTTCGTAATTGTGGGGATGCAAACAACTTCTGTGTAATTCCTTCACTGTCTGAATTTTTGATGATTTTTCGATCAGGCGCGATATGACAGGATCGTGGACGCTTGATGATTATTTACTTTATGAAAGTAAATATATTTTTTATTGTTCTAATTTCTATTTGAAGAGGGGAATAATATCTTAGATCGGCGTCATTTTTTATAAAATGTATGGCATCCAGTCTTAAGTAATTCTAAATATCTGTGCAGAAGAAATACTCTAAAATTAGGAAACGTGTGTAGGGATATTTGTTAATTTAACGAAGTTACGCTATTGAAAAAGATGTATTTTTACAGCCTTATGTGGACGAATAAAATATGTAAAAAATATAACTCAGTACTCGCAGCAGTGAGTGACAGAGAGCGCATTTTCTCGTCAACGAAAACTTGAGGTCACGGACAGACGGACGGACAGACAGACGGACGGACATGGCGAGCACAATAGTGCATTTTTCCATAAATAAGAAAATGCGCTAAAAAGAATGATTATTTCTGAAAAATGATTTCCCATTTGAACATTATTAACGAGGTAATTTTTGTCACTTTACAGAGTTACGCGAGATCAGCCACGCCTGCACCGCACCTCGCCACGGCCGCCCCTATGACCCCTCACCGAGAGTGACTCAGCGTTTCTTCATGTTGATATGAGCAAGCTTTTGATGTAAGGTTATCAACGCGTTGCAAACCAAGCGTGTCGTGATTCCTGCAGAAGTAGATATTGCTTGTGTATGATATTGCTTATCAAGAAGTAGATATTGCTTATCAATATTGAGCAAGCATGGATAAACAAAACGGACCCTTGGAGCTCACTACGAACTCCGCACCCCGACCTCGCTCTAGGCCACAGCTCAAAAAAGTATCCCATGAAGAACTGCAAGCCTTAGCCAGTAAATCAATTCCAGCCGTCAAACCTTTGAATATTTTTAATCAAGACAACTTGAGGCCACCACATTCAGATACGATGAACTACATTTCGAATTATTTTCCCGTAAATCCGCAACCTGCACTATACAAGAACAGAAATGCGGCAAATTTGCCTTATACGCATGTACGTGAACCGGATATTACTACCGGTTCACCCAATACTACACTTAGTATGGCGTTTCCAACTACTGCCAATTGGCCACAACCTCAATCCAGCTCACATGCCAGCTCAACCCATTGCTCAACCATTGCTCAACCCATTGCCAGCTCAACCCCTACCCTAGACCAATCGCTATCTTCCTCGAATTCAGGTGCCTCCATTCCTAGCACAATCCAGAATATTAATATCGCAACTGCGACAAATTTGTCACAAGCTCCACTGGATTTACACTTCAGAGTTCCAAACACGGTTCATTCCAACATGAGCCAAACTTCACAGAGATTTGCAAATCCTTCATACAATTCACATACAATATCACCAAGTATGATCACACACAATCTGAACAGCTTTTCATATCCTCATAAAACTGTGGCCAATCCATGCTCTGGTTTGCCAGATATACCATCTCAACAATCAAATAAACATTTTCCAATATACCCTCCAAATGTGATGCTTGGACCGACCGGAACGATGCACTACGGTGATAGGATGACAATGGCTCGCCCAAGAATAAATCAAGGATATCTTAGTCCTTTTGAAACCCCTTTACATCAAACGCGTCAACAGGCTAATGGATTTTACGGAAATAACATTTGTACTCCTCCAATGCATGGACTAAATAACCTTACGAATTCAGTATGTTCGCCTTACGACTATACCCGCAATTTTTACGATTTTCGTCAAGCGCCCCGAACACCGTTCCACATTCCTCGCCCGGCGTTACCAACGTACGAGCAGAACGTAGGTCTAGCATCGCCGTTCAATGCAAGCCAGAAAACTGCTCGACTAAGTCAGAGCGCCATGTCGTTTTCATCAACAGTACCATCTCCACAATTGGATGTGAACGATTGTAGTTCTATTGGGGCTAAAGAAAAGCAGCCGAATATTTCTCAGACATTTGAAACTATGATATCGCCACTCAAAGGATCTTCGATGAATGTGTTCGACGAATCGATGCGTCCTTTGGATCTAAGGTCGTCAATGGCGATGTCGCCGCTGAATCACAATCACCTACCCGGACAACATGGCCCGACACGTACATCGACTCCGAAACTTACCAACAACAATCAGTTCCAGAAAAATGAACATCATCTGAACACATTACAAAATGTTGAACCACGTTCACAAGACAACAAATATCGGATAAAAAAGAAAAACGATAATTTCCTACAATCACATCCACCCTATCAACCCTATCGCTATCAACACTACCGCCATCAACGTCATGAATATCCCGCAAGTCAATCTCTTCAAAAATCCTATCAAGAACCTGGCATGACACAGAACCTAGAAATCGCTTCTCATCTGGCATTCCAGCAGCAACCAGCGCAAGTTAACGAGGGAAATGTCGATCGGCCCATTTGGCACTCACAAGGCATCACGTCGTCAGCAATTGAAGCCAGCATTCCAGAAAATTCTTCAACCGCGGATAATCAAGCACAGAACAAAAATACTATAGATGATCTCCGTAATTTCCGCCGAAACGTTGAACCACGTCACATAGAACAAGGCCTATTCGAAACGAGGAAGAAAAAATACCAAGAAGATCATCTGCATTCAAAGAACGTAACAGAACCGCTGCACCAAATTCTGCCGGAGGAACTTGATAAACGGCAGGTTTCCCCAGGGCAAATTTTCCACGATTCCCTAGTAAATTGTCAACAGGTGCCTCACTTATCCATTTCGAGCTCGGAAGTGCAAACGCGATATGTGGAGCGTCCATCGGAGCAAATGGTACTAGATCAAGGTATGGCTGAAGTGATACCCAAACAGCCTCGCATTCCAAACAAGTCTAAACTTGTAACACTTAACAAAACATTAGAATTTAAACCAAGAAACATGAAGTCCGCTCCTCCAAAACCAAGAGCACCGAAAAAAACGACGATTCAAAAACCAAGAATGCCAAAGAAGAGTAGAATTTTTCAAGCAGGAATAACGGAGGAAGCAGCCAAAATTAATCAACACGAACCTGGCTCCGTTTCTAATCAACCTTCAACAGAATCCACGGAGGGTCAAGACTCAACACAGCTCGAAGATTTAATACAAAATGCTCTCCTAGAGTTACAAAACAATTGTAGTTCGAGTCAGAATCAGTCGTTAAACAGCCGAAAGAAACCAGCTCCTCCAAAACCAACAGCGCCAAAGAAAACAACCATTGAAAAGCCAAGAATGCCAAAGAAGACTACAATAACACGAGCAGAAATAACGGAGGAAGCAGCCAAAACGAAACAGCACGAACCTGGCTCCGTTTCTAATCAACCTTCAACAGAATCCACGGAGAGTCAAGACTCAACACAGCTCGACGATTTAATACGAAATGCTCTCCTAGAGTTACAAAACAATTGTAGTTCCCTACAGGACGAACTATCAATTGATGAAGCTCCGAAGTCAGTCGAATTGGAAAGAAATGTTAAATCTCTTTCTTCGCCGAACGATTCCAATCTTGCAAATATGGAGAAGTATCCAGTACTTCGTGAAATTTTGATTGGAAATGTAACAGAATACAGACCTCAATCTTCCAGTGATAGCTTAAGTTTGAAAAATTCGACCCAGGAAAAGGATGAACCATGGCAGGTTGAAGTGGTGTTCGTCGGGAACAGCAATTCTAGTGCAAACGAGGAGAACAAAGGTGTGGATGGTGACGATCCATTTTGTCGGTCAAATGACCGTCATGATGAATGTTTACTAGAGTACGACATTGATGTCCATCAGATTGAAGATCAATTATCGAAGGCTGTAAACAACGAGGCTATAACTGATCTCATTCTTCCTCATTGCTCTTCAATTATGTCTCCTTTGTCACTGCCTGATACTCCGTCTCAAACTGAGATGGAGAACTGAAATCGAAAGACTGAAGAAATCGAAAGTCCAGCTTCTTGGCGAACTTGAGTTTATTGGCCTTTGCAAATGAGTCGTAGGTCCATGTGAAATTGTACATCTTTTCATGATTTGTCTAGTACTTTTATTTCATCATGATGGAAAATACTTACTTGAACTATATCAAAGGAAATATCGAATTATTCAGCGCACTAAAGCTGATTTGACATGGATATAAATTTTACATCCCCGTTATCTTAATCACCCAATTTGACCCGTCACCTTAATCTAGATTTTATGAGACTGCTCGAATCTAACAAAATTCGAAATTTCAGAACATAGATTTAAAGAAAGCAAAGAATAAGACGAAGAAAATTTCAGTATTTATGATGCTGTACGAAATGTATACATTTAGTTTCCGAAATTGAGCCTGAGGTAAAGAAAATATTGTAGGAACTAACAATCTAGGTAACGCTCAAAAGTAAGGTTTCTTTTTAAGGATTAGAACTGTACGTTACGTTTTTACAATAAAGTATTGGAGTTGACGTTAACCTAAATTTATTGCAATAGTCTTAAAGTCCAAAGTATCACTGATGTCACAGTTCTCAATAAAATGCAATTATTCCTACCCGAATTGCAGCAGGTTGTCTCTGTCTACATTTGTTATGCGCCAGTATACAAGAAGTCAATATATTATTTTATCAATGGAAACTGTGTTTAGCTTCATCCTAACTAGAAGTTATATTAGGGAATCCCCTATAAGTAAAGCATGTCCCACTCAGAATGAACATTTCTTGACAACTCTGTATTGGCCCCGATGTCCGTGTTGGGATATGCCGATCGGGTTGTGGTATCTTGGTTGAACCATGTTGTGGGTAGCCGAATGTTTCTGCGGGTTTCTGGCGAGCGTCGCTGGCTGACTAGGTGAAAAGCAGAAACCGTAGATTCGTGAAAATGATGATACCGCACCCATTACGATCGACTAGTTCGAAGCTGAAGATGGCGGGAGAGGCTGCAAGTTCATCCTGTTGAGTATATCTGGAATAAACGCCCGTAGAAGCGTACGAGGCTTCAGTTATACGAGGCAGCTCCGACAGCACAGTTAGTATGCAAAGCGATAAGGTGACATACATAAGAAGAGGGAGAAAACTAAAATGGCATATTAAGGCAGGGTATGCTTACTTGCATAGAGCATAAAATATGTCTATATACGGCAGATGAGGAAGGGGATCTTACCTTTACCGTTGCGAGGAGGTAGAAATGACAGCTATTTACTTTGCCATAGGGAAACAACATGTAGGGTAAAATAACTTTATATTATGGAAAGGTGCAAGTCGTTTTCCGCGAGGAAGAGAACATCAACATCCTTGGTCAACATCTTTGGTATCCAGACATCTTGAATGTTCATCGGCGATTTCTGGAATTAAATGAAAATGCAAAACTTTTTCAAGCCGTTGACTAAATTAACAGTCAGCCATTTTTGGTAAATTTGAGGTTCAATAATGACAGGCTGAAAATATTAATGCAGAGATACATCTGGGAGAGCGGCGCTGCATGACTTTAAAGAGATTATGTATGGCCTTGCAGGCCTTGGCTTAGCTCCGTGTTTGCAACGAAAAGGAACGTGGTAGGAAAGACTTTTTAATCGCATTAGAAGATTGGAGAAAGATTATTCGATTGTAAAATTATTCTGATGCCATTTATCCAGTCATTGGTAATGTTTGAAGCCGTGAATGTTGAAGCCGTGTGACAATACTCGATTCACGAACTTGACACAAGTCGTATGATAAATATGTATAGGATTTTGTCTCATCAATTATTCTTAGTGCTGTACAAAAATAATTAAAACATGATTTTTTTCAACAAGCGTGACTGATGTGGAAAAAAGGAAAAAGATTGTGACGAATCAGACAGTAAATTAATTTCAACTTCTATAATATCTTAGAAATTAGAGACCCATTATTGTACCAATTTATTATTGACAGTTTTATTAAGGTTGTTAATTCGCAAGAAAAATTTCACGAGATAATTGGTAGCTTTCCCGTATTTTTTAGAAGAATATTGACTCCTAGAGGAATTCTGATCCTGCTCCATAGTCTTATGGACCAATATATGAAAAAAAAAACAATCTGAAGAACCGGTTAGGGTTACCACTGTAAAAAGAAAAGACTAGTTGCCATGAGTAAAATCAGAACCGACAACATTATTTGATTGTTGGCAGCTTGAGTTGACAATAACAATGCAGTTGGTGAACCTGACACCGCGATCAGCTGTTGCCGGCCAGTGTTGATGGTGGAAACTTAGCGTGATCAGGTTAACCTTCAATCCGAGTTGCTTTGGCTGTGCAAAGTTCGCTTTTGGTCCTGAAACGCTAGAGATATGGCATCGCCTTTAGTTATCCCCACGCGCTTGGCACAGTGTGTGCGGGGATTTGTTGCTGGTTATCCGGCACGCTGCATCTCTACTGCGTCTACAATGGTGATTACTTATATTTTTATAATGTTTATTAGCGTCGCTACACTAGACGGTAAATGAGTGTAGGTCCCAGACTTTCACTTGAATAATTCATCTTATAGGATAATTTTTTGGAGTAGTACTGATTGTAAACTTTAATTTTAAAAACAATGTGTAATATGCAAGTTTGCTTTTACTTGTGAAGTTGTGGAATTTCAAGTCATATGATGAGAATTTTCATTTTGCTAAATTCACAAATATCTAGGTAGCCTACTCATAACTGACAAACCACAAAATCAACAGAAGTGACCAGTGATTGAGATAAGAACTAGCTCAGAATTGGAATTTTTATACTTAGGATAAAATTGCATCTTCATAGTGACAAAATTCTTATACAGTTTGAATCTTGCAATTTGATCTGCATAGTCAAGACTAGATAGTGTAGGTATGTTCAAAAAATTTTCCTTTCATTGTAATGAAAACTATATTAACTATACATCTGGAAAGTAAAAATATCATAAATGTAAGTAGAATACAAATAGTAGTACCACTGTGCAGAGACCACAGTTCACCACACTCAGGATGATGTATGTTTTCGGTGAATTTTCCCGCACATTTTTACTTTTTTTAAGCTATTGCTGTGCACAGTTGGTGCAATGTAATGAAAATTGATTCTCTTCGCGCACATGTTCGCGCAATCCCAGCCATCAATTCTACGTCGCGCTGCCGCGCACGAGCAGTTTGTGTAGGAACAGACATAATACTCACATTACTGATTACTCAGTACAGTATGCCTATAATTATCTTTCAATAATATATGATTTTTCTTGATACAGAAATTTGATGAATGAGAAATCTAGAACTTTATTTTAGAAGAAATTTTCTCCAAAGTCAGATGGCAATACTGAACACCATCTGTTTACATTTCGTATGTATAATAGCCGCAGTTTACGATTACCGTACGTTCCGTATCCGACAAGGCGGACAAGCGGAAGAGTCAGAAGTAACCCGGACATGTCTTACATTTTATTATTGTCAGTTCCATAGTTCGACTCGCGTAGTCAATATACTCGCGTATATTGTCGACTAAAATAGTAGAACTATTTTAGCTTTCTAAAGTACGGCGCATGGCGCATTTTTTTCCCAGCATAAGACGGCGCACCGCGCAGGTCGTTAAAATGACAAAATAAATTCCCGCGCACCTGGCACAACTGAACAATAATATATAACAATAACATAAACTATTCACATTTGCAACCAGGGTGTTTCCAATTCATCAAAAATGATAATGTACATTTACAATTTGACACAGGTGATCAATGGTCAGAGAATTCATCAATTTAAATTTACAGGGTTGAACAATATTCTTCAGATGACATTAGTTGATCAAAATGCAGGTTCAAGGTAGTAATATCAATTTATTAACGACATTTCGAATGTAACAACATTTATCTTCAAGTTACAGGAAGCACTGAATACAGAAATCTTGATGGGAATAAGCACATGATACAAGTAAGCAGTATACAAGAAAATTTGGAACTGTGAAAATAATTCCAAAACAATCTCAAAGCTTAGAAAATCAGGTACCGTAAAATGAGGTAACTTAGACTACTTTTTTTTTTAAAATGATGCCATTCTTTTACCAGCTAAATTAAATTTAAATTGAAACGTGCAAAATACAGGTCTGTACTCTAGGTTCACTCACCATAAATTGCTGGCTCCTGCCTCTCATAGTTTTTATGTAATTTCAAAAAAAGTGATGGTCTTTGTTACCCCAGCTCCTGGGGTATCTCAGACTGGAGGGTAAAATCAATTATATTTTTTTGGTAAAATAAGTCCAAATAACTCCAGGTTTTGGTGCATAGTAGTAGAACTCTTCTAGTTACATATGCAAATGACAAATTTGAGGAAAGTGTCATAGTTTTCAAATGGGGAGTGCTGCCCCCCAATGGGGGAACTTGGACCACCTAATGTCAGCTGTGAAGGGGTAATATTGACTGGCTTGGAAATTAAGTTGAAATTACCATATATAAGACTCTGTAGAGTCTGAAACATAAAGAAAAAACATTAACTGGTGTATCGAACATGATATATGTTATATATGGTAATTTTAAATTAATTTCCAAGCCGGTCTATGTTACCCCGTCAGGGCTGACATTAGATGGTCTAAGTTCAACCATTCTGGGGCGGCGCCCCTCATTTGCAAACATTGACACTTTCCTCAAATTTGTCATTTGCATATGTAACTAGAAGAGGTCTACCACAATGCACCAAAACCTGAAATTATTTTACCAAAAAATAAGAAAAATTGGAGAGGGTTCTATGACAGGCTTCAAATAATAGCTCATTTCTGTGAGTCACATTTTTCATTTTTCAACCTATTAGATATGCATAATTTTTTATCTTTCTATTGTGTTACGTAGCCTCAGTATTAGGCCTTTAATGCCCATTGACAAAATTTTTCTATGTCTAATAGTTTTTGAGTTTTGGGGGTTTTTGTTAAAAAAACTAAAAGTGGTCTAAGTTACCCCGGGAGTCTAAGTTACCCCATTTTACGGTAGTTATGAGATGGATAGATGGAGTCCAACCCATAGAGAAGGGCTTCAGCTAACATCGGTCAGATTATGTCAGGCCACTGCAGGATGATGATGCTGGTGGGTTCCTCCAGCACAGTGCAAGTGACAGTCTCGTTGTGATGGAGTGTCACAAGAACGTTGTCGAGAGTGTCACGAGGCCTTTTGATTTCATCGCGGATCTTGAGATGAAGTTGCTTGATTGTGATGCTATGAGACCTGGTCTGGTTGCGAGCTTGTCTCAGGTGGCAGGATAAACGGCTGCTCAAAGTTGTAGTCGTTACTACAATTACTCTAGCTGTCATGCTCATCTCTCTACTGAATTATACTGTACCTATATAAGCATTTCTGTTCATTCTAGCTGTCATGCTCATCCCTCTACTGAATTATACTGTACCTATATAAGCAGTTCTGTTCATTCTAGCTGTACTCTACTGAATTATACTGTACCTATATAAGCAGTTCTGTTCGTTCTAGCTGTCATGCTCATCCCTCTACTGAATTATACTGTACCTATATAACCAGTTCTGTTCATTCTAGCTGTCATGCTCATCCTTCTACTGAATTATACTGTACCTATATAAGCATTTCTGTTCATTCTAGCTGTCATGCTCATCCCTCTACTGAATTATACTGTACCTTTATAAGCATTTCTGTTCGTTCTAGCTGTCATGCTCATCCCTCTACTGAATTATTAGACGTGCCATCAGCAAGGTTGTTCCATGGATATGCTTGTGTATGATTAGGAAACCACATCCATTTCATTCTTTCAATTTCTTGAAAAATATCAAGTCACTAATTTTACATTTTAAAGAGGAAGGAATATCAAATAAACAGAAGTAGAAAGGGGAAAAACTGCTCGCAAAAAGAATTAATTTAGAGTGTCAAGAACTTTCTCTGATTTCTTTTAAGCAACCAATCAATTATAATTACAAGCCTGCAATGAAGCTGGCAAAGAAATTCTCTGTCTTCTGTGTGGAGTTTAATTTATTTGTGATAATTTTGTTTATTTTTATCTTTCATAAAGTGAAATATGCACAGGAGGTTATTCATACTTTTTGTTCACAGAATATGTGCAGCAAAGATGGTTTCCGCAAGGAGCAGGACAGCTTCGGAGAACTGGATGTGCCAAACAACAAGTATTATGGAGCTCAGACTGTGCGCTCCACCCTCAACTTCCCCATTGGAGGACCTGATGAAAGAATGCCAGTGAGGAATTTTGAAAACAAATTTTTTAATAGTTATTAGGTTGTTCTACATGTATGAAGATAGCTGGATATTTGTGATTGTATGTTTCTCACAAGTATATTGCTTTCAATTTACATGGATGGCTATTCTGCTATTCAAATTTCACTAATTAATTAATTAATTAAATTAAATTAATAAATTAAATTAATTAATTAATTTCTCCCAAGATCTTCTGAGAAATTTTATCATTTATCTTAGTGTAAATTTTTATGAAGTTTTGCTGGTTCAATTTTTATTCATTGTTTGATTATCATTTATGAGGTTTTAAATAAGTACTACTGAGACTTCCTTTCAACTTTATGTGAATCCAAATTTTAAAACATTGTGTTAAATTTCATTAAAAAAAACATTGTGTTAAATTTCATTAAAAAAAGACTATTTCATTAAAAGACGAAGTGGAATAGTTGGTATTTTTAATCAAATGAATTTTTATTGGCCATGTGCTTCATTTAGATTATGGTATTAATGTATGTGATCTTCAGAGGCCTGTGATAAAAGCATTTGGAGTGCTGAAGAAAGCTGCTGCTGAAGTCAACAAGGAGTTTGGCTTGGACCCAAAGATTGCAGATGCAATTTCCCAGGCTGCTGATGAGGTCATCAGTGGCAAACTCTACGATGAAGGACATTTTCCACTCGTCATTTGGCAGACAGTGAGATTTTCTCCTTTCACTTCTGTGACATGCAGCACTTCAGTGCATTCAGCTGCATGAACTTGCAACTCAGCTGCATATAGAATTGTTTATTGCGATCCAAGCTCATAAAGTGAACATTATTGGCTAGTTCTTGTAAATGTTCTATTACATTTTTTTTAACTGAACCTATTGCAAATTAGAAATGGTTTCAATTGAGATATTCTGACACTGTCATTTTTGAGAACTAATATTCAAATTTTATTATTTAATGATTGTAATCAAGGTTATTACTAAAAACTATTATATCATTAAAACTTCAAGTAATTTGTACAGGGCTCAGGCACCCAGTCAAACATGAACACCAATGAAGTCATTGCTAACCGTGCCATTGAGATCTTGGGGGGCGTCCTGGGATCCAAGTCTCCTGTGCACCCAAACGACCATGTCAACAAGAGCCAGGTACGCACGACTCCCTGAGTCAACAAGAGCCAGGTACGCACGACTCCCTGAGTCAACAAGAGCCAGGTACGCACGACTCCCTGAGTCAACAAGAGCCAGGTACGCACAACTCCCTGAGTCAACAAGAGCCAGGTACGCATGACTCCCTGAGTCAACAAGAGCCAGGTACGCAGGACTCCCTGAGTCAACAAGAGCCAGGACTCCCCTAGTCAACTAGTCGAATCAAGTTTCTAGTCTAATTGAATCATGGCAAATTCATTTATCTCAATTTTCAGGATATCTCTGTCATATTTGAAAGCTTTTGCTGTGTTTTAAGTGCAAATCTGAAAGAAATTTCTATGCCAGCCTATTATATATTTTAGTCGAATTTTTGGAATGAAATTCTGATAACTACAAGTTGTAAAAGAAACTACGGTATTTGTTGTCAAGAATAGATTGTTTATTGCAGAGTTCTAACGACACGTACCCCACCGCGATGCACATCGCTGTGGCCGTTGAGATCCACCAGACGCTCCTCCCTGGCCTCAGGAAACTCCGCGCCGCCCTCGACGACAAAGCACAAGAGTTCAAAGACATCATCAAAATTGGCAGAACTCACACTCAGGTTTGTTGCCTGCTGTCATTGTGTTTTATGCTCGTGCTCATAAATCACACTGTAAATACACGTCATCAATAACCATTAACTTCATCACAAACTACGCTTTTGACACACATCATCACAAACCATTTTGTAAACATACTTCTTGCGCCCTGGACGCCAAAGCACAAGAGTTCAAAGACATCATCAAAATTGGCAGAACTCATACTCAGGTTTGTTGCCTGCTGTCATTGTTTTTTATGCTCGTGCTCATAAATCACACTGTAAGTACACGTCATCAATAACCATTAACTTCATCACAAATCATGTTTTTGACGCACGTCATCGCAAATGGTGTAAATGTAGACATGCCTCGCACGCTACAGGACGCCACGCCACTATATCACTTATAACACTAGTGTGGCTATAACAGTAACGCCACAGGACGCCACGCCACTGACACTGGGGCAGGAGTTCAGCGGTTATGTGCAGCAGTTGGACTAAAAGTAACGCCACTATATGCCACAGTAACGCCACTATATGCCACAGTAACGCCACTATATGCCACAGTAACGCCACTATATGCCACAGGACGCCACACCGCTGACCCTGGGGCAGGAGTTCAGCGGGTACGTGCAGCAGTTGGACTTTGGCATGGCGCGGGTGGAGGCCTGCCTGCCCCGCGTGTACCTGCTGGCGGCGGGGGGCACCGCCGTGGGCACGGGGCTCAACACCAGGGTTGGCTTTGCCGAGAAGATCGCAGCTAAGGTCTGCAGTCTTGTATACTTGTATACAGGCTTCTATACTTGTATGTTATGGCTTCTGTACTTGTATGTTATGGCTTGTATACTTGTATGTTATGGCCTCTATACTTGTATGTTATGGCTTCTATACAGGCTTGTATACATGTATGTTTTGGCTTCTGTACTTGTATGTTATGGCTTCTATACAGGCTTGTATACATGTATGTTTTGGCTTGTATACATGTATGTTTTGGCTTGTATACTTGTATGTTATGGCNGACTGTACTTATTACTGAAATAGCGTCTCATTTCAGGTCATTTTGTGACCAGCTTTTATTCTTCTATGAGTTTTGGTACAAAACCATTTGTGTTTGTGTGTGTGTGTTCCCTAGCATTAGTTGCTTAGCAGATTCATTTTCTTTTTCTAACGGTTTCCCTAACTTGGGATATTTTTACCATCATTTTATTTCAACTCAATAGTGTAGGCTGCTGAAAGACTCCTTGGGTTGTTTTGGCACTTACGAAATAGTTCGGTTAATTTGAGTACCTATCTTATTTTTATTTATGTGTCATATATAGTGTTAATTATAAGCAGCTATCCTAGTCACACGTTGCAACACTACACCACCCGCTACACGCGACTCCTAGTGTCATATGTTGCAACACTACACCACTCGCTACACGAGACTCCTAGTGTCACATGTTGCAACACGACACCACCCGCTACACGAGACTCCTAGTGTCACACGTTGCAACACTACACCACCCGCTACACGAGACTCATAGTGTCACATATTGCAACACTACACCACCCGCTACACGAGACATGAAATAGCGTCTCATTTCAGGTCATTTTGTGACCAGCTTTTATTCTTCTATGAGTTTTGGTACAAAACCATTTGTGTTTGTGTGTGTGTGTTCCCTAGCATTAGTTGCTTAGCAGATTCATTTTCTTTTTCTAACGGTTTCCCTAACTTGGGATATTTTTACCATCATTTTATTTCAACTCAATAGTGTAGGCTGCTGAAAGACTCCTTGGGTTGTTTTGGCACTTACTAAATAGTTCGGTTAATTTGAGTACCTATCTTATTTTTATTTATGTGTCATATATAGTGTTAATTATAAGCAGCTATCCTAGTCACACGTTGCAACACTACACCACCCGCTACACGCGACTCCTAGTGTCATATGTTGCAACACTACACCACTCGCTACACGAGACTCCTAGTGTCACATGTTGCAACACGACACCACCCGCTACACGAGACTCCTAGTGTCACACGTTGCAACACTACACCTGTCTCTTATACACATCTAGATGTGTATAAGAGACAGGTATATATATAGTATGACGTGCGGGCGCTCACGTTATAGACGAGCAGGCGCTAACGCTGCGTATCATCGATACGTACGTCAAGCCATACTTAATCAAGTCTTAATCGTTTTTCTTGTGGACTAAAAAGTAGAAAATAAAATACTTAAAAAAACTTTTTAAAAAACCACGTTTTTCTTGTGGACTAAAAAGTAGAAAATAAATTATGGTTCGCCCCAAAAAAACGTGGGTCGGGCTGTACGTTTACCATCAAATTTCCAAAATTTAAGTGTTGTGTGCTTTTTGCTTTAATCATAAATCTGCCCGACACTTGTTTTTTTTTTTGGGCCAACCATAATTTATTTTCTACTTTTTAGTCCACAAGAAAAACATGGTTTTTTAAAAAGTTTTTTTAAGTATATTATTTTCTATAGAAAACGACAATGGGGGAACCGGGCATTTTAGGGAGGGAAGGCACGCCTGAGGCTCTAATTTGTCAAAAAAAAAACCTGGCAAAATGGGCTAAATCGGCAAAAAATTTGAAAAAATTGGAAAATTTTATTAACCTAACCTAACCTAGCGCAATTTTTGGGTTTTACATAGGTTTACAATCATTCCCAGATCGATATAGATCATTTCCAGTAAAAAAAATGTTCCGATTTTTCACCAATTTTTGCCTGATTTTTTTTTTCATGAATTAGAGCCTTGGGCATGTCCCCCCCCATAAAACCCCCAGTTCCCCACGGGTCCCCCATTGTCGTGTTCTATAGAAAATATATAAAAAATCTTTTCCGATGCTGACCGCCAAAAACGGATTTCAGATTCTTAGTCTACACCCCAAAAAACATATATAATTAAAAAAAACACCCTTTTTTTGGATGCACTTAATCTAAAGTAATACCGCTATTGTTGCAGGCTATCTATTCAGACTATTCTAACTAAAATAAAATATTTTGGTTGAGACATGGACTGCAGGTGGGTATAGTATAGGAAAATGTTCTGACTGATGGACAAATAATAGAAAATTCACCAAAATGCAGAATTGAACAGGAAAATTTCTAGTTTCATGATTTTTGCATCATAAGCGAGCATAAAAAATGAAGGATTTACATATCTATTTACATCTATACATATCTATATTTACATGTCTTAGGTGCAAGAAAGCACCTAAGACATGTGAATGGGAGATGGAGGGCCTGGAGGGGTTACAATATTATAAAATTGGCTAATGTAAAAAAAATCACTACACAATAAAACTTCAAGACTAACAGTCAAAGGAACTGAACAATAATATATAACAATAACATAAACTATTCACATTTGCAACCAGGGTGTTTCCAATTCAACAAAAATGATAATGTACATTTACAATTTAAAACGGGTGGTCAATGGTCTGAGAATTAATCAATTTAAATTTACAGGGTCGAACAATATTCTTCAGATGACATTAGTTGATCAAAATGCAGGTTCAAGGAAGTAATATCAATTTATTAACGACATTTCGAATGTAACAACATTCATTTTCAAGTTACAGGAAGCACCGAACACAGAAATCTTGATGGAAATAAGCACATGATACAAGTAAGCAGGATACAACAAGAAAATTTGGAACTGTGAAAATAATTCCAAAATAATCTCAAAGCTTAGAAAATCAGGTAATCGCTACATGAGACTCCTAGTGTCACATATTGCAACACTACACCACTCGCTACACGAGACCTCTAGCACGGTAATTGGTAGCGTTTATTACAAGGCAGATAATGTAGCTGCAACAAGTGACGTAATGTGAACGCACCTAGGTTCCTGCACTCGGGAACACTAGTGGTGGCCAGTGCTACTTCTCTTGTAAAAATGAGACCGGGGAACCACAACAATTTTCAAATTATAGTTACTGAGCTACTGGCCTCGTATGTAGGCGCTGCCGACCATGAAAGCGCCTTTAACTCATTACTTCCGGAAGTCGTTGGCCGCAAGTCCCAGGGCTCGAAGAACCTGCTGGGCGGGCGCAGACTCTGCGGTGTCGTCCCACTAGTACGATAATTACGTAGTCGTAGTTAGCATGTGAAAGTTGGCTGTCCCTACTGGCCCCATGTACAGGCGCCAATGAGTCGGTCGCTCATGAGAGTGTGGACGGCTTTCTCCCTTATAAATTCTCTGTAATTTCTAATAATGACATTAAAAAGGTTATCATCATTTTTTAAAATGTGAAATACTTCAAGAGTTGAAAGCTCCAACTTTCTTAAGTCGTCTCATCTGGTTTCTTTACCGTTTTGGATTTTCATGAAATGTTGAAAATTTACCCAATTTTTATAGCTAATTGGGACAAGCTTCTCATTTTGTCTCTTCTCGTCTCGAATAAAATAGAACCAAAATCAGGAGTCTACTATAGTTAAAACTAACTGTTTTTCTTGTTATGTGACAATTATGGAGCTTTAATGATTAATTTTTTGTCTAATAATGTTTAAACACAAATTATGCCGGCAATAATTAACCTTCTGTGGGCAGGTGTCGGAGCTGACGGGCTTACCCTTCAAGACGGCGCCCAATAAGTTCGAGGCGCTCGCTGCCCATGACGCCATGGTCGAGGTTGCTGGTGCCCTCAACGTCGTCGCCTGCAGCGTCATGAAGGTATGGACGTGAGGCTTCCTCAGGCCATGCCTGGGGGCGCAGCGTCACATGAAGGTATGGGCGTGAGGCTTCCTCAGGCCATGCCTGGGGCGCAGCGTCATGAAGGTATTGTCGTGAGGCTTCCTCAGGCCATGCCTGGGGCGCAGCAACATGAAGGTATGGGCGTGAGGCTTCCTCAGGCCGTGCCTGGGGCGCATCGTCATGAAGGTATGGGCGTGAGGCTTCCTCAGGCCCATGCCTGGGGCGCAGCGTCATGAAGGTAATATTGTTAGGCTTCCTCAGGCCCACACCTGGGGCGCAGCGTCATGAAGGTATGGGCGTGAGGCTTCCTCAGGCCACGCCTGGGGCGCAGCAACATGAAGGTATGGGCGTGAGGCTTCCTCAGGCCGGGCCTGGGGCGCAGCAACATGAAGGTATGGGTATAAGGCGCTTGAAGTCTCGCTAGAATTAGGCTCTTCTTTCGTTTTTGTTCTGGATGGAGCCTGGTTTTCTTGTAATCTATCTTCTACTTTCTCTTGCCCTAATACCTTGTCCATTCTCGATTAGGATCGTTCAAAGATAAATCTTTTATTTTCCTCTATTTGACTCTTTACTGATGATAATCTGAGCTTCAGGTCTTCAACTCAAGTGAAACACATATTGCTCTCCTTAGCTTTTATCTGGAACAGAAAATCATTGAGTCATGTCCCATAATTGTTATTTTCATAGAATTATTATACTAAGTTTGGCTTCTTGCCTTCGTTAATTACGGAAACTTGACACGCTTGCAGATAGCCAACGACTTGCGGTTCCTGGCCTCGGGCCCGCGCTGTGGTCTGGGCGAGCTCAGCTTGCCGGAGAACGAGCCTGGCAGCTCCATCATGCCTGGTAAACTACACTAGCCTTATGCGTGATAATTATCAATAATATGATTTATAATAATCCTCTTATCACCACTTATTTGTTGATAAGAGGATGACTTATGTCATCATGCCTGGTACACTACAGTAGCCTTATGCGTGATAATTATCAATAATATGATTTATAATAATCCTCTTATCACCACTTATTTTGTGATAAGAGGATGACTTGTGTCATCATGCCTGGTACACTAGCCTTATGGCGACCTTTGTTGATAAGAGGGATGACTTGTGTCATCATGCCTGGTACACTACAGTAGCCTTANTGCCTTCGTTAATTACGGAAACTTGACACGCTTGCAGATAGCCAACGACTTGCGGTTCCTGGCCTCGGGCCCGCGCTGTGGTCTGGGCGAGCTCAGCTTACCGGAGAACGAGCCTGGCAGCTCCATCATGCCTGGTAAACTACAGCAGCCTTATGCGTGATAATTATCAATAATATGATTTATAATAATCCTCTTATCACCACTTATTTGGTGATAAGAGGATGACTTATGTCATCATGCCTGGTACACTACAGGAGCCTTTTGGCGAACCTTTGGTGATAAGAGGATGACTTGTGTCATCATGCCTGGTGCACTACAGTAGCCTTATGGCCTTTGTTGATAAGAGGATGACTTATGTCATCATGCCTGGTGCACTACAGTAGCTTTATGGCATTCGGTGATAAGAGGATGTCATTTGTCATCATGCCTGGTACACTACAGTAGCTTTATGGCCTTTGTTGATAAGAGGATGACTTATGCCATCATGCCTGGTACACTAGCCTTATAGAATAGAATAGAATAGAAGTGTCGGCGTTGAAGAAATAGGCCCATGGCCTGTTGCCGATTCTTGAACTTTTCGTGACTTGATTCACAAGACAACCCTCACATCGGCTATGATAAGGTGAGCCATGAAAGACGTGTCCCTCATGCTGGTCACTGCCCTCAACCCTCACATCGGCTATGATAAGGTGGGCCATGAATAAACAGTTCTTTTGCTGGTCACTGCCATCATCGTCGGCTACAATAAGGTTTGCTATCTCTAGTCAATGAACTCCTAATTTGTTGCTTCATCTAAATACAGGATTAAATTTTTTCTAACGTGACCCAATTTACTAGCCTAAAGTACAATGGAATGCATGCAAGAAAAGTAATGAGTTATATTCAATTAGTAATTTCTCTCTATTTAAGATTTTAGCTCACCGTTTATATGTGAACCGGAGCAACGGTAAAGCAGAGCGGACCATTGCAGAGTTTAAAGCAGGAACTATACTTTGAAAACTTTTGTACACTCGGTGACCAAATTATTGTAAGATGGCAGAAATTTTTTGATTATATGCGTACAATTTATATCAAATATGCACTCTCTGATCATAAATTGTACGCATATTAGTAGCCAAAGTACACATAGCGGCACATTTTTCGTTTGGGATACGTTGGTCTAGATTGGGAAGCCTTAGGTTTTTGGCTGACAGAGTTACCAACTATTTACGTTAGTACAGCCTCCTAGACGGCTATATTAGGGATTCTCCATGCTGCACTTGAGCCGTTAATAGTCGAATAATATTTGTGTTATTATTTCAGGCGGCAACAATCGCCAAGACCGCCCACAAGGAAGGCACCACGCTCAAGGCGGCAGCTCTGAAGCTCGGTTACCTCACCGAGGAGGAGTTTGACCGCTGGGTCAGACCTGAAGACATGCTCGGGCCCAAGTAATGTTCCCGCTATGAACTTGAGAGACCAACTGAAGGCTTGTGCTACATATCTGGCAGCAAATTGTCTGTAATTGGATCAAGGATTAAAATTCTTGGGATGGTCTGATAGGAGATAGGATGCGAATAATGATAGGAGTTTGACCGCTGGGTCAGACCTGAAGACATGCTCGGGCCCAAGTAATGTTCCCGGTATGAACTTGATTGAGACCAACTGAAGGCTTGTACTACATATCTGGCAGCAAATTGTCTGTAATTGGATCAAGGATTAAAATTCAAGGAATGGATAGGAGATAGGATGCGAATAATGATAGGAGTTTGACCGCTGGGTCAGACCTGAAGACATGCTCGGGCCCAAGTAATGTTCCCGCTATGAACTTGATTGACCAACTGAAGGCTTATACTACATATCTGGCAACAAATTGTCTGTAATTGGATCAAGGATTAAAATTCTAGGAATGGTCTGATAGGAGATAGGATGCGAATAATGATAGGAGTTTGACCGCTGGGTCAGACCTGAAGACATGCTCGGGCCCAAGTAAAGTTCCCGCTATGAACTTGAGTGACCAACTGAAGGCTTATTCTAACATATCTGGCAACAAATTGTCTGTAATTGGATCAAGGATTAAAATTCAAGGAATTACAATTTGAATCACAGTGTTTATCTGTGAAAGTGCGATATTTTTTTCAGTGTTCGTGATATGATTGAAATCAAAATTTATAGTGGAAATATGAGCAGGCTTGTCGAATCGAGTGTTATTCGTCATATGTAAACAGGATATTGGCCGAGATTAAAATCGTTTCAATAGACGCCATCATCAGAAGATAATTACTGTAACTGCATGTAATATCATTGAAAGAAAGGAATTTCATTGTGATACACACGGGCAACAAAAAGATGCTTTTGATGAATCTCTGCTACTGTTCAAACACGCAAAGGACGCGTGAGGTCCGACAAGCATCTGACCTGTAATTATTATAGGTGCATTATTATAGGTGCATGCAATTATTATAGGTGATAGTTTACTTCCTCGGCCTAATCTGCCTGCCAAAAAATTGTAGGAAAGTTTTTGATGTTTGTAAATTGCGATATTTATAATAAAATTCACTATTCCTTGTTTATCTTCCTCATCTCATTAGCGTTTATTAATTGTTGGGTTAATTTTGCAACAAGATATTCTACACTAGCCGTGAATTTTTGGGTAAGTTGATCTTTGTCGAGCCGATGTGCTTTTGGACAGCGTTGTGGGGTGTATAAACTTGCACTAAGCTTAATTAGCAGCAAAATGCGTGGTACAGACCTCTCACTATCTGTGTTGTGGTAGGCATGTCAATGACGACCGTTTTGATTGTTTCATTTCTTCAAATCTCCTGAGTTCAGCTTTGTTTTCAACATCTCAAGTTCCTTCCGGGCTTGCTTCTTGCCGGGAGCTCGAGGGAAGAAAAGGCTTGTTATAACCCAAACTTAATTAGATAGATGTCTGAAAAGATGTCAATTATTAATATTAGATCGCTTCATTCTGAAATGAAGCTGTGGATCGAACACTTCCAATTTATATGAAATCGAGTGGAGAAGTTGTACGAGTCAACGCGTTCGAACGTCACATATTCATGATCCCGAATCATCGCAATGCTGACCGCTCCCCTGAAACTGTCAGTTAGACCGAAATGAAGGTGCAAGTCATTGCGCAGGCCAACTTCACTAAAATATACCTGGGGCCATACTTTCAAAACTGGCTAAGTGAACGTAAGTAATTACACACTATTTTCTTATCTTTGAATGGTGGATTTTGCTTGAAAGGCCGTCAATTATTGGCTGGTGATCTTACGATCACTTAATTTTTTTGAAAGTATAGTTCCTGAACATCAGGGGTAGCTATGCTGTGTAATTAGGAAGGAGTTGAAAACCACGGAGCATCCTTTCCTTCGTTTAAATAGTCATTGAGAAACGATATCACTCTTCGCTGGTCGATTGTGTAAGGGAGCTTCGATGGCGCGTCGATGCAGCGCCAAAGTGGAGAGTGAAGGTAGGTGTAGGCGGCCTGGAACTTCTTTAACCCCAAATGATGTATGAACTGTGACTATTGCTGAAAACTAGAATGAAAGTAGTTTCATGAGCAGGGCTCTAACGGAAAAAAGGAGTACTGGTATACATTAATTATGTAGAGGCGAACAAAAGACAAAGCCTTACAAGAAGCAGACAGCACAAAAGTTGAGCCGCACAGAGTGCCTCTCTCCAGATTGAGACAGCACTCACAGAGGTGCAAGAGGACTATGGTAATGCTATATTTTACAGGATTAAGATTAGTTATTCGGAGTATAAGTAGAGATCTGCTCATAAGAATCAAAAATAAGTTGGTTAATTACTAAGTCTTCACATACATACCCGTATTTCACAATTGATTATAGAGACTTCATGTTGGCAGAATCAGCCTAAAGCTACCATTGCATTTTGAGCCTTTCAAGAGAGGGTTAATCCTCCAAGCTAGTTTTTTGCAGATATTTATTATAGCGGTTTTCATGATATAATTATTAATGTATAATTAATAATTAACATTAATTATTATTAATAATAATTTCAACCATGGCGGTTTTAGCGTTTATTAGGCCGTAAGCCTGTCGCCGATTCTTAACTTCGTAGAAAACATTGACAGCTTGTTGTGTCTCGAACTCGAAACTCACTGCTGCAATTTGGCTTTGCTTGACCGCCCGGCCTCGTCGATTCTGACCAACCTCTCTGCTCCAATCTTGGTACTCGGAACTGTAACCACTGGGCCATCCCGCCTCCAAATCTATTTACATAAAGGCATGGTGGCCCAGTGGTTAAAGTTCAGAGTACCAAGATTGACGCAGAGAGGCGCGGGTTCGATCCCAGCTCTGTGCGCCAGTTTCTGGTCAGAATCGGCAAGGAGGCCGGGCGGTTAAGCACAGCAGAATTGTAGCAATGAGTTGCGAGTTCGAGACCGCAACAAGCTGTGGATGTTCTGCGATGTTAAGAATCGGCGAAAGGCCTATGGCCTAATAAACGCTGAAACCGCTATTATTATTATTATTATTATTATTATTATTATTATTATTATTAATATTATTATTATTATTATTAAAATTATTTACATCTATACTACATCTTTCGAGGTGAGTGAGCTAGATTGTTCCGAGGCGATTGTTCCAATTGTTCTAGCGTCAGCTCAACAAGAACAGCGATGGCTAGCCAGCAAGCACTGCCGACCACATATAAACGTAGTGTTTGATTAACGCTGGTGGAAACCGTAATTTCGGACCATTGCTTCACCAGATGGTTCTCTCTAAGGGGGAAAAAGAGCCGGAAGAAAACAGTTACTTTCATGAAAAAGAGGCTCACCAAGCGGGACCTCGCCGACGCTGAACTGGTATTTCCCCAGGAACCGGAGAAACCAAGAGGCGGGTTTACCGGGACCGGAAACCAAATCGACGATGACGCAGTAACCGTGAAAAATGCAAACAATGGAAATACGGACCACACCGGAACAAAACCGAACCATGAAAATGGAACAAGAACCTGTTTTGAAAAAGTTAATGGTGCCGCGCGGGGACCGGCAACTTTCAGTGATACTGGAACCGGTGCACGAACCGGGGGAAATGTCGGAACCGAAACTGGACGAGGCGCTAGGACAGAGGTTGAAAAATTCTCTGTTTGGAAAAGACAAGAAATCCAACCTTGTAATGGGTAATGGGATGATGGGTGATGGGATGATGGGTGATGGGATGATGGGTAATGGGATGATGGGTGATGGGTTCCCAGCCATCATCGTCGACAGCTCCCATTGTGATGCTGTGGTGAAGCCTCCAGAAAAATGGGCTTGTAATGCGTGGCCATGCGATGTGATGTCGTGATGCATATATGGACCAGGGAATTAGTTACTGGGGCACAGGCCATAAAATAAATTAGATAAAATCAAGACTTTCTCTGATATATTAAATGGGGACTAAACCGGGACGTATTTCTGACGTATTTCATATTGACAAAACTGGGACTTATTACTGATATATTTGAATTGAGGATTAAATCGGAACACACTTTCGACATATTTGATAGGGACAGAACCTGGACGTATTTCTGAAATGTTTTATAGGGGCAGAACAGGGACTTATTTTCGACAAAACTAATGGGGACCAAATTTAAAGTAATTTATCTTTTATTAATGTGCATATAATCGAGACTTTCTCCGTAATACTTATTTTGGATAAATTGTGAAATGTTTGTCCATCCTCAACGGGGACAAAATAGAGCCCATTATATTATTATATCTATAATAAATCATATTTTTTAAATCTGGATGTAAAAGCTGCAAAAATTATTGCTGAATTTTTTGTAAACTTAAATATTAACGGGGAAATCATTTTCGACATATAAAGGGCGGGATTATTTTTTGCACTTATGTGTTAGATGAAGTAATTCAATGTCCATTAAACAATTTCAAGATTTAGGATTTAAAAAATCTTCTGATCGATCTTCAATCTTTGAATATAATGATAAATTTATACATTTATCCTTTGTGAATAGATGCCGAAAATGAAATTGAAATAAATTCTTGAATATAAATGACATAATTATTTAAATTAATAGACGTTATCATTTTATTTGCCCCTAATGTAAATGAAATTAAAATTTAACATTGATTTTATACGAAATAATAAAACTTGAAGAATATTCATCAATAATTGACATTGGTTATACAACCGCCACCAATTTTGTTTCGTTTATATTATCAATAATATTAAGGTATATAACTAGAGCATATTTATATTATCATTGTCGATCATCAATATATCATCAATCTCGAGTATTAATAAATAATATATGATTATATATATGATATGGACTGTATATATCATATATATATTATGATATATGATTAATTATTATATTATAATATGGTAGATTACTTAACGACTTGGTCCGTCACTGCAAAATGACACAATTCTTTGGAGAAATATTTTCTATTTTCTCCGAGAATTAATTATTTAAACGAAATGAAAAAACATACGTATATATATAATTATTCGTAGGATTTGCTTA